ACCCATAATAACGAACTTGCAAAATGAATCTCTTTATCATAAAGAGATTTGTTGTTCTTGACACTGCTTCACCTTAAGCCGGGGTGAAAGTCATATGTCCGATCTATATGGAATTTTGTTTATATAGTTACATTGAATTAGCCGAAACAGGAGTTTATAGCCTTTCTTTGACAAACTAGCTACTCATAATGTCATGATGTAAGGCTGAAACCAGAAATGTTATTGGAATGGATCCTCTGTCATGAATCCAAGCTCGATGTTATTGTCTGTCAATGATCTGAATAGAGGAGATGAGCTAGGATAGAGAAGCCCATTCTGAAATTTCATCTATTTGAGGTTTCTATGAAAATTCACAAAACAAGAGCTATTTGTCTTGTCCCAAACTCTGCAATGGAAGCAGTCTTTGTTTCTGCTATGGTATACAACCAAGGAAATTCAACTTTCTGCTAGAACATAGTTTCTCTTCCATCACCAACTTTGTTGTGAATGTTTCTGAAAATAAGGTCACTGTGCTTAAGAATGAAGCTTCATGGGCTTTTTTGTGGAAGCCTAGTGACGAGGGACCATTTTGAGATCAAAGTGGTAAGATCTGAATTTGGCTCTAATCCCTTTCTACATAGTGCCTCTTTTTCATGACAAAATCTGCATGTCCATTTCGCTAAGAGAGCTTTGTTCCAAATTTTTAAGTCTATGATACCAAGCCATCCTTCCAGAATTGGCCTTTTCACCTTAGCCCTTCGAAGGAGATGAGACAAACTCTTTCTCCTATTTTAAGACCATACAAAAAATGTGATGCCAAGAATGACACCTCTTGTCAATTTTGTCTGCAATGGGCTGCCAAATAGCTAAAGCAATAGGCTTACCAGTTACCAAAGAGGGGAAGACCCAAATAAGTCGATGGCCACAATCCTACTTTGCAACCAACTTGCTAGGCTGTTCAATGCGGCCAGCTTCTCAACTAATACCCAAAAAGTTTTGATTTGTGCCGGTTGACATTAAAACCAGAAGCTTCTTCAAAGAGTCTAAAAAATTTGAACAGAGTTTCAAAGAGTCTAAAAAATTTGAACAGAATTTCAATGTCTTCCTCTTCATGCATGGAGAATAGAATGGTTATATCAACAAACAATACATGATGGATTCGCAGATATTCGTCTCCTACTTTGAAACCATTTATCAAGCTTTTGTCAGAGGCAAAGGAAACAACCTTCTAAAACAATTCATAAAAATGATGAAAAGAAAAGGAGGCAAGGGATCGCTTTGTCTAAGGCCGATCGAACTCATGTTTTTTTCCCTTGGCTTGCCATTGTTGATTATATAAAAATTTACAGAAGAGATACAGCCTCTTATCCAAAGCTTCCATTTGATACAAAAGCCCTTTACTTTCAACAATTCTTGAAGAAAGTCCCAACATCAAGCTTAATTAACCTCACCTTCTCAACATCAAGCTTAATAACCACGCCTTTTTTTCTCTTGCTCTGCGGTTCTTCTATGAAATCATTCGCTACAAGAAAGGCATCCAAGATTTTCCTTCCTTCCACCGTTGCTGATTGAAATTCTGTAATTGTGGATGGCAAAACCCTCTTCAATCGATTGGAGAGGTCTCTAAGAATGATCTTGTGAAGGCATGTGGTAAGTCTAATCGGTCAGAAGTCCCCAACCTTTCTTGCGTCAATTTTCTTTGGTATATGATTATCGATGAAGTTATTTCCAATATTTCTCAATTCTTAGTAGATGCATGCAGTCAAAGCTAACCAAATCAGCTGTCTAAGTCCTAGCCCCTTTTGAGTTTAATGAATTGGTAGAACATATCTTCTGGATCATTGAGATTTGATTCATTATTTGCAAGTGCTATGGAATTTCTAGATGTGGACATTTCATTACTTGAGCTTGATAGACTGGTTCTTTCCATCTGAATCAAGCTTGGATATTGTAATTTCTAGACTTATTTATGGTTTTTGTCTTCTCTATTTGACTTTTAGCTGCTTTATATGTAACATAAAGTTTACAAACTTCTGTGGTATTGAACATCATGTCTAAGTTTCTAACTGATGGTTGTCTCGTCTGTATAAAACCAGTCCTGGATGTTAGAGTAATGGCTGCAGCAGAAGCGAAGCCTCCTCGAAAGCATTCAGGAAACCACTTTCTTGTCCAAGGTGATGGCTGCAGAACTTCAAAATTATTGACAACTCCACCGTTTTCCTCAAAGTCAGAATGTGATGCTGCATCTAATCATAGAGTTCGTGGGTTTTATTCCCCAACCAAAGCTGCTCATGTTCCAACGTTCTATCAAACAGTTGGCATTAAGTTGGAAACAGATGAGCAACCTAATGTTCAGCACCATAAAGATTTTGCAGTAGGATGGGCAAAAGCTTTGCAGGCTGAAGTGGATGTTTCAAGCATTCAGATTGCAAATAAAACTACTGTATCTGGTAAGGAACATCGAAACATAGAAGAATTTGATTATCGAGTTTGCAAGAATTATGTTGCCACAGAGGTTATGAGTAATAATAAGTCAGTAAACACGACCAAGAAAATAGACAGCATGGATGAGTTCCACTACATAGAGGATGATTTTACGGACTTGCACAATTTTGACAGTCAGGTCTCCAAGCAAGGAGAGAAGGTCTCTGATTTGGAGTCGCATTGGACAGGAACTGAGAAGACTAAACCATGGTGGCAATCTGCTAGTAAAGACGAGTTGGCATCCTTTGTTGCCCGGAAGTCTCTTGCAAACTTGGAAAATTGCGATCTTCCTCAACCACGAACCAAACACCAGAGAAAGGACCAATCTACCTGTCTTGAATGTTTTGAGCAAGATAGCTTTCTCACTTCATCATTTACGGAGACGCAATTCTCCGGTTTGGATGAATATAACAGGGGAATGCACCCTTCAGTTGGCATGGGCGAGAGACGGTCCATTGTTAGTAAAGTAGGTCGCCCACGGCATCATCACAGTCATTTCAGGTATTGCTCGAGTACAAATCATGCATTTCTTTTTTGCTTTCTCGTTATCTTTTCCAGTTTGTCTAAGAAGTTTCTCTGATCGAGCGATCTTTTAGTAGGTTTACTTGAACCGTATTCATCCTTTTAAGCGCATGCTCCCTTATATCTCCATTATCTTTGTCTCTGTTCGAATGGGGTTGCTCTCCAGTTCTTATATTTCCCATTGTCTTGGGGATCCTGCATAGATAAGGCTTGAGCATAAAGAATATATGTTATGTTGCTTGAAAGAAAACAATTGATTAACAAGCCATAAAAAGATAACGTTCTATCTGTAATGACAGCATTAGCAGAACTAGTAATGAAGAAAACAACCCAAGAAGTATTTCAAATCTGAATGTTGGCAAAGCCCAATTGCTGGAAGCACTTTGCCATTCACAAACTCGAGCAAGGGAAGCTGAGAAAGCAGCACAGGAAGCAGATACAGAGAAGAAGCACATTGTCTCACTCTTTTTGAGACAAGCCACCCAACTTTTTGCTTACAAACAGTGGTTCCAGTTGATGCAGCTGGAGAACATTTGCCTTCAACTTAGGAGCAAAGAACATCCAGTCACTGGTCTATTCTCAGATGTCTTGCCTTGGGTCCCTTGTAAAGACAGGCAGTTTTATCAGCCTAGAGACAAAAGGAAGAAACGGGGCCGATACAGTCGCAAGTTTACGATGTACGAAATCGCTTTTGCTTTGGGATTGGGTCTTGCTGGTGCCGGTTTGCTCCTTGGATGGACGACGGGTTGGTTGGTTCCCATTTTTTGAGTTTCGTAACATCGCAAACTGGCATGTTCATTCTCTGGTTTGCTTTGGATTCCCTGGTCAAGGCAACTAGTGTCCATGGGAAAACATCATCTTCCAAACTTTTTGTAAATATTTAGAGCCTTTGTATGTGTTAAACGTTGTATTTGGCCAACTCTTGGCAAAAGAAAACTGTAAATTGTATACAAAAGGGCATGTGTCCGTGTAAAAATGGTGTCTTTTTTAGCTGCTTGCTTCTTGCCTTCCGTCTCTCAACATACTCAGCTTCCTTGTCTTGTTTAGTTGTGATGCAAAAATACTTTATGAAGAAGAGTTCTTAAAAGAGACAGGTTGATCACAACAGTGGACGTCGTCGTCATATTTGACTACTTCTTATAAAGTGTTCGAGAATTATTTTAGAATGATCAAAATTATTTCCGTCATTTTTAAAATTTCTAAAGAGGCAGGATAAAAGTGATTTTAGCTATTCGTTAATCAATCTCGAACACGTTCTTATTGTCTTTTTCGATATATAGGTAATGCAAGTTGCCTTCGTGTCTAAGGGATTCCTGGATTTAGGTCGAAGAAGCAATGTCATCATTATCAAATCGATTTAAGTCGAAGAAGCAATGTCACTCGATCATTATCAAATCGAGGATTCCTGGATTCGGGTTGGATTGTGTCAAAGAAGCAATGTCACTCATTACATTAAATAAAATCGAAAATTTTATTTTTGTTAAAAATTTGATTTTGTGCTCATAGAATAAAGTTTTTTTTCTTTCTTTTTACTGATTCTTACTTCTAGTGTTCAAACAAGTTATAAACTATATATATATATATATATATATATATATAAATAAATAAATAAATAAAACTTATTGATGCATTATAAGGTTAATATTATATCAATATTTTAACCAAATAAACTAATTTTAGATATGGTCTCTTTTTTAGCATAATTATTATAATTGTTATTAGTTCCTATAATATTTTATTTTTAAATTCATACTAATTATTAAAAAAAAAACTAATTAAATATACCGTTTTGTAATTTTTAAATTACTTATTATAAATTTAATCAAATAGTTAATTATAAAGTAAGATTAAATATAACAATAATAAACTTGAGAAGGAAATCCTTTAGAAAGTTTAGCCAAAAAAGTCAAAGTGAGTGTCATGTCAATTATTTTTCAACATTATAAGATATTAATATTCCGATAATTTATATATATATATATATATATTTTTTTCTTTTTGAAAGTCAAAAGGGAAATGAAGCTCCGCCACCGTCCGTTTGACCTTTGGCTGTTTACCGACCTTCTTTGATTGGTTCCCAATATGTATCCGCCGCGTGTTCGCGCCAACCACTCAATACCCTCTCCGGGTTCTTCCACAATCCAATTTCCAAAATCCCCAATTTTCTTCTTCGTCTTCTTCATCTGCTTCCAAATATGCCGTTCATTGAGATTAACACCAGCACCACAGGCGCGGAGGACGCCAAGATCAACACAGCAATCAAAATTTTCTACAGAACTTACGGACGCGGATCAACCAAGGTCCTCCTCATAATAGGTCTCTTCAAGATTGCTCCATTTTTCCGTTTTTCCCCTTTCGATTTCTGCTTTTTTCGAATTTCATTCTGATAGCGCTTAAATGGATGAATCAATAATGGATAGGATTGGCCGGAACCCACGATTCATGGAACCTCCAAATCAAAGGGCTTACAGGCACCGATGTGCCGAATGACCACGGCAATCGGAACACCGTCGGTAACCAGATTGCGGCGGACGACGGCGAAGAAGCCAGCTTCGAAGATGGCGGAGGAATCGAAGTTTGTGCATTTGACAATCGGGGAATGGGCCGAAGCTCCGCCCCCACCAAAAAATCTGAATATACGTGAGTTCCACAATCTATTACTTATGAATCACTTCTCTCAATCTCTCTTATCTTAGTTGCTTGTCTTGAGAAATCAATTAGAATTCAGGATTTAAGCCAATTTTCCAATACCCTGAGCGAGAGAGAAAGAAAAGGATAAACCCCTGTTTTTTTCTTCTTGGTTGTGCAGAACAAAGATAATGGCCCAGGATGCCATTGCCTTATTGGATCATTTGGGATGGGAAAAGGTCCATGTCTTTGGTCATTCCATGGGTGAGTGAGTTTGTTTGTAACTCTGCTCAATGATTCATGAACAAGATATAGTTATTAATGTTTTGTTCTATCAATAGGAGGTATGATAGCTTGCAAATTAGCTGCTATTGCGCCTGAAAGAGTCAAGTCATTGGCCATGCTCAATGTCACTGGTGGAGGCTTCCAATGTTGCCCCAAGGTACCTTAATAAACGTTTAGTGCTGCGACTCTTAGCTGCTTGTTTGTAACATAATCTTCAGAAAACATTACATTACTTTAAGGAATCCAACCAAAATGCTGTTCTGTTGTGGTTGAGCTGGTTCTTAAGGAACAAATTATTCTTGTAGCTTGACAGGCAAACATTCGACATTGCAGTCCGATTCTTAAAGGCCAAGACTCCTGAACAAAGGGCAAGTGTTGATTTGGATACACACTATTCAAAGGTAAAGTTAATCATCATGTTCGTCTTCTGTTATCTGCGACCCGACTTTAAACAAGGATGAGTCGATGAATAGTTTTAACAAAATTTGTATATTGTGGTGCAGGAATATCTTGAGGAGTTCGTCGGATTTGAAACAAGAAGAGCGGTATTATATCGGGTATGTAATGATGGGAGGATCATTCTTAACTGGTTTTATGTATACCTTGTTAGTTGGATTCTGGTTTTTATTAAACCTGCTCGTATCCCGTTCCCGCTCCCACTCCCACTCCGTCTTTTCTAGCTGCTCTCTCCTCTTGAAACCTCCCCAAAAAAGGAGGGAATATGGGAGCTAGAAGTGTCTTTTTTTATGGATTCTGAAGCTTACCTTGTTGGGTTATAGTTTTCTTTGTCAACTAGTTTGGAACTTTACAACATTCCATCACAAACATATGGATACATGTTCGGTGATACCGATATATATCCACGTTCACAGAAACGAAAGTAAACCATGTATTACCTGACAATAGCCAAGTGTTTATGGCAATGAGCGTCGTGTATGGAATCTAATCATGAATGAAAAGGAGGAGTCCGACATCCACAAACCCTCTTACAAGAAAATTCTTTTGAACCTCCTTATGAAAATGACTTTAACTTAGAGGAATAAGTAAGACAAAGAACCAATGGCTGTTGTAGTAGGGGTCTGATTGAGTCTCAACTCGTGAGCAAAACTAATCCCTTCTCAAATTGCCGAAGTCGGTCGTGATCGACATGTAATCCTTTCCTTGAGGTTGGAGGATCGAATCGACATGCCCCACTTTGTTGTACTAAAAAATAATAATAATCCCATCCTGAACATGTTAATATATGTATGCCTAGATAGCACTCTGCCAAAATGAATGGATTTTGTTTAAACCATGAGCATATATTGAGAGACTTCTGAATGTTTGAAAAACTTATTAAGAACTAAAGGTGTAGTTGATTCTATGACACTATCTTCATATGTTGATTGTTTATATCAATGCCTCAATAGCTCTGGTCAATCATTACATACGCATACACATAAATACATACTTTAAGCTTTAGAGCCTTAGTGAACTTGAAACAATCATTTGCAGGAATATGTTAAAGGTATATCAGCAACAGGAATGCAGACTGATTATGGTTTTGCTGGTCAAGTCAATGCATGCTGGACGCATAAAGTGACGAACAAAGAGATCGAATGCCTTCAATCTGCTGGATTTCTTGTATCAGTCATTCATGGAAGGTAAACAATCATGTCGGTTAATCGCTACGAAACTTATGGCTGACATCCAAATCTGTATGAACATAAACATGTTTCTATCATCTAACATTTGCTGCATCGACGTACTTTACGAACGATGATTGGTTTTCGATGATCAGGCAAGATGTTATTGCTCAAATATACTATGCTAGAAAACTTGCAGAGAAGCTTTATCCTGTTGCTAGAATGGTAGATCTTCATGGAGGTCATTTAGTTAGTCGAGAGAGAACCGAAGAGGTATAACTTTTTCTTAATCAGAATCGATCGAAACCGTGTTTTTCACTAGAAACTGATAGACATTTCTATTTTTTTGTGTGAAAATTCAGGTAAATCAAGCTCTTCTTGACTTAATCAGAGCTTCAGAAACGAAGATGAGCCCACAGGACTGGACAAACTTGCCAAAGAAGAGCTCATGTGAGCATTTTTTTTTTCTTTTAGCAGTCAACTTTTTTTCTCTTTCGTTCCTGGGGGATCCCACATTAGTTGGGGAGGAGAACGAACACTCTTTATAAGGGTGTGGAAACCTTTCCCTTGCAAACACGTTTTAAAAACTTTGAGGGAAAACTCGAAAGAGAAAGTCCAAAGAGGACAGTATCTGCTACTTGAAAATGCTGAAAAATCCATTGTTTCTAACAGGGTGGATGGAGGAGAGAATGTCATTAATAACACTAAAAACTGAAGGAGGAGGAAGCACTGTCTCCACCAAACCTTTCTTGTTGGAGAGACTGCATCTTTTCTTCCTGTATCTCTTCGGTCTGATTCTTTTCATGTTCGAGTATCTCCGGGACACCTTCAAAAGCTTGAAACCAGCTCGAGTTGGGCCCTCCCTTACGTGAAGAATCGTTCCAAAGACTAAATTTTTACCAGTGAGTTATCTGATTGTCCCAACAACGGTCGTGTAAATAATATAAAAACTTTTGAAAATAGTTAAGGTGCGTTCAAGCTGGTTTAGATACGCATAAAGATTAAAAAAACGATAGCCCTTTACTTCCATTGAACTCAAACTATAAGAGGTCTCAAGTTTGTTCTTTGCTTCAACTTTGTTGCAGGGTCTGTTCATCTTTGCTATCTGATAGGCAATGATCCAATCATCAAAGTGAAGATGGGGAATGAATTCTCTTGCAATATTGAGAAATTATATCAACAAGGGAGATAATCCAACAAAAGGCCAATGTTAAAGCCTGGTATACCCTCCCTTCTTCTGTATAATCTATAAAACTGTTCATCCTGTTCATCTTATACCACTAAATGCATATTATTCTCTGTTTAAAATTCGTTTTATAGTTCATCTAATCAAGACATCAACAACATATCGTAAAATATTCGAATTTTACTAAATCTAACATAATTATCCATATTGAAAGTTTAGCGTCTGTCAAACCTATTACTAAGAAAGAAACCAAATAGAGATCGATTCTAATATCATTAAGAGCACTGCATAGATAAGCTCATACTAACCCGTCAATTTTGGATCTAATTCGGAATTGAGTTGCCGGAAAGTCGTGGCAGAGGAGGTTGCCTTCATAAGATGGCTGCTTTGCAAGATGGAATCTAAAAGAATGAGAGAAAATGAACTCAAAATTGTGGATTTGGAGAGAAATTTAAGCAATAGGACCAAAATATGCCTTTGGAATATACCAATATGCTCCCATGCTCTACCCTACATGACAAAATATGCCTTGGGTTGAAGCCCAGTTGAACCAGCAGGTATTGGTTCGGCTAACGCCTCGACAGCAGGTATTTGTAAGTTGAATCATTCCCCAAATGCCACGTGATAGGTCAATTCGCTTCACTTAGAAATGTCGACCACGATGGAGATGTTTAAAGTTTCTCAAACCACAGGTCGCAACTCACTCAAAAGTAATGTAGAGCCGTGTTGATTATGTTTAACTTACGATCTTTCTCGACATATGATAGTCCAACACCTTGTGTCAAAGTCGGCTATATTCATGCATGAACTGAACCAAGCATCTTCCGATTTACATTGATATTAGATTTGTGCACAAGACACCACGAGAGAATTAGGACATATCATCGAGATCACTCTAATTAAAGGAAATTGGCTCGGTAGGAAGGATACCGACCTTGCTGAGCCACCCCACCATGGTACATGATTAAGTCCCACCTTGGGTCGAGTCAACGAGTGAATTCTCAAGACAATATTCCTCCATCATATAGTAATACTTCCAAAATTCACAGAGATTCTCTTACGTAAGTCATTAAATCGTTAAGGCTTCAAGTATATAATATATAAGTGTCCATATCATAAGAAATACCGAGAATCAAAAGCATATAACACACCAACTACCCTAATTTCATTAATTAATATGCTGCCAAATCAAATTTCATTTATTACACATAGCTAATATCCTATTAACATATATTTACTATCATAAAAATACAAACTAAATTATTTCTTAAATATAACTAAAATCAGTCATACACTTATAATTAATTATTACTTTGAAATAGAAGTTAATCATCTTCGCCTTCGTCTCCATGGGAAAACCCGCTTAAATTTTTCATAAATCTTCACCTGTAATTCAGTCAAGTCGTTACAATTGATATTGTTCGATTTTTCTAGTTAAAAGATCGAAAAATAACCCCGATTAAGGGTAAATAAATAAAATAATATACATTATTAAATTTAAGAATAAATTATTATTATTATTTATAAAATATTTAGCATAACAAAACAAATATTACCTACTCACATTTTTTAAAAAATAATGAGAAAAAAAAAAGTTGAAATATTTGGACTTACCAAGAAGTGTGATCTTCCATAAGAAGAAACCGACAGTGACGGAGTTATTTTCTTTCCAAACCTCCCGCTTCCACCGCCGCCGCCGTCGACAACGGTGGCCAAAGAGTCGTTCCCGCCGCCGACAAGCTCCTTACACATTCTGAAACTACCCCATCTTTTTGATCCATAAGCCCTTTCAGGTCCGTCGAGCACGGTCGTGGGCGACAGCAGAGTGCTCTGTATGGCTTCATTCAACAGCCGAGGCGGCGGAGGAAGGTCCCCCAGCGGCGGCGATAGCCACGGAATTTCCGATCCGGCGAATGGTCGGGGCTTACCCGGCGCCTCCTCCCACAAAAAGGGAACGGAGGCCAAAGTTAAACGAGGCGGCGTCGGCATCCACGGTGGCTCTGGCGGAAGCCGAGAGAAAACTAGCGACGGCGTAGAGCTCCGCTCCGGTGTGTGCGGCGGCTCCGACCACATGGGGTAGAGACCAGGAAATAGAGTGAGTTTGTGTGAGTGCGGTGGTTGAGCGTTTAATAGAGTTTGAAATTCTCCAATATTCTTATTATTAAACAATAAACAATAAATAAATAAAAACAAAATAAATCTTTATAATATTAAATATTAAATTTTTATTTTTAAATTTCCTAATTATTTTTAACTTAATTTTTTAAAACAAAATAAAAATTATTATCAAGTGAAATAAGCATTACTAATAATAATACTTATTTATATAAAAAATTTATTACTAATAAAAATACTTACGATTTATTTATTGCATGAAAAATTCATATCTATTAATTTTAACATTTTTTTTTAATTATTTCTCTTATTTTTTCATGTTTTTTTTTTCATTTAAATTTCTTTATGAATAAAATCAGCCTCATTATTTCTGTCAACATCTCTGCCTCAATAGTGATATGAACATTCGAAAATTAAAAGCTCATTTAAGAATTTATTTCCAATATAATTATTTATTTTTTCCCTTTTCATATTACTTTTAATTAGTTATGACATATTATATATAAAAAAAAACATTATTATTTATAATTTCTTATTAAGCTTTAAACACGAATTGACAAATAAGATGATAAATAAAATAGAATTGACAAATTAACCCTCAATAATTAATTTTTTTTATTTTGTTTTAAATAATTTATATATTTTGGCTCATATTATTAAACTAAAAAATACATAGTCTATAGGTTATAAATGAGTAACATTTTAAAGAAAATACATAATTTGTAAGATATATTTTAAAATAAAAAAAATAAAATAAAATTATGGTCAAATTATAATTTAAAAAATATAACATAATTGGTGTATTTAAAATATATATAATTTTAAAAATGGGAAGAGGCAAGGCACCCACCGACGATGGAATAAATGACGGAAGGCCTACGAATTTATTTTTGTTATTAAATGGATGAATTGAACAATGATTTAATTTTGCACCAATTTCTTTTATTTATTTATTTATTTAAATAAATTTAGATTCATGACCCACTTGTTCGAAAAATCTACTTCTTTCCTAGTGCTATTCTTATAAAGTCAAAACCAACCCAAAATCCATAATTTCTTTTAAATAAAATAATTATTTTTTTTAAATTAAAAAATTATAATCTTCTTTAAACTTTTTTTTTCTCTAATAAAAGAATAATTTTTTTAATGTATATTATTATTATTATTATTTTAATGTTGGCCTAAATCTGACCGCAACAAAACAAGATAAGGTTCACTGGAGTGTTCATATGACTTAATAACTCGACCAACTCGATTCCATTTGGGATTTACATTTTTTTGGTCAGGTCAACCCAACTAACTCGAAAATAGGGTTACAATCAAACCATACTTTTTAAAATTAAGAATATTTAACGTTATTAATAGTATTTTTTAAAAATAATTAAAAAATAATCCGACAACCTAATTTAGCTCGAACCTCGGGACCAAAAAAATCATTTAAAAAAAAGACATATATATATATAATTATTTATATATATATTGTATCAAACCAATCAATCAAATATGGAAATAATGGCAAAAGAAGCACAGTCTTATGTTCATATCAACTGAGTGCCAATAAATAACATTCTGCAAACAAATATGGGCCGAAGTACGAGGCCCATTTTCACCGAATCATCTCCAACCATGGACTCCAAGGGGAAAGGCCCACTCTTCGTCCACGTAGTTATCTGGGCCGAGGCCTGTATTCCCACCATCATGGAATTGAGTGCTTTTCCCATTACTCTTGCTTATTGGGCCGTATTGGGCCTGGTTCACTGAAGAACTCGACGAATCGGAAACCCAACCTTTCCTCATTAATGGGCTCAAAACTGGGCTCTGCGGCTTGACTTGACCCAAACTCCGCGCCTTAGCCTTGGCCGACTGAGTTGGGGCCATGTAGCTCGGAATATGGGCCGAGTTTGGGCCTGAATCCAAGTTCATTTCAACGGTCTTCTCCGACATGTCTTCCTGATTGTGGTAAGGCTGAGACCACATCCATCGGTCCAGTGAACTCCAACCCCATTGAGTCGTACGACGACCTTCGCTTTCATAAACCGGACCGGGTTCATGTTTCCTATTTTTCTTCAAACTTTGAGCTTCCATTTCACATCTTTTGTTGGGAATCTTTAGTTTCTCATGTTTTTGTTTGAATCTTTCTTCTTCTACTTCGACGTCTTCGACTTTTCTTTGGAATTTGTCGTGTGCTAGTTGGAGCCTTCGGGCTCGAACTCGAGTTTGGACTCGAACTAATGCTTGCATGCATCGCATTGTCATTTGTGCTTGTTTACGTACGTTGTAGCCTCGAACTAGTGCTTGTAGTCTCACTAAACCCTTCAATGCACGCAAAGCGCATCGAGCCTACAAAAAAGATGGAACAAAAGTATTAGTAAAAACGTTTAAGTTAATCCTTAAATTTTCTATTCTTGTTTTAAAAAATTTCAATAATATCCATATACTTTAAAAAATAAAAAATTAAAAATATGGTTTTAGAAACTCTCACCATTAGTATCCCGATTAAAAAAATATATCTATAACTTTTTAAACTAGTATTAATACTCTTACCTTTATTAAAAAATAATAATAAAAAGAATTAAAAATTGTTATCGTCAATATAGGGACGAAAATTATTTATCTATATCTCATAAATCAAAATTGGATGGTATTAAAATTAATTTTAAAAATTTATTAATATTTTTTAAACATGTTTTGAGTGCAAATTACTACTAGATTTAAGAATATTAATATAATTTTAAAATTTTAAAGATATTAAAAAAAAAAGAAGGTATTTTTGAAATAAAATATTAATATTTTTTTTTATATAAAATTTAAAGATATTATTGTGAATTTTTGAAAGAATGTTTTTGATAGGTAAATACAAAATTCATACATATTTTTATTAATTTAAATTAATAAAAAGATAATATTTAAAAAATTATAATTGGTTGGTAATGAATGATGTCGAGCCTAATTTCTTAAAATGGAAGAAAGAAAGAAAAAAAAAAGTTAAAATATATATTTACCAAGTGACCCCTATAATAAGATTGAATAACAGTTGCAGCTCTTTCTTCCTTAGAGTACGGGCGGCCATAGCCAGCCAAACGAACAACCTTCGCCGCCGCCTGAGCCGCCGCCACCGCCGCCTCAGCCGCTGCAGCAGTGGCAGCAGCAACCGCGATGGCATGGTTTCTATCACCGGCCGTTAATGGCGTGGAATTATTGCTCTGCCTCTCATAATCTGCAGCCGTCTCAGGAGAGCCATTATCCTCTTCAAATTTCTGCAATCAATTAACTCAATAAAACAAAATCCAGTCGCCATTAATGGACATAGAAGCTTAATTTTGACCTTAGTTTCAGGCAGGGTGAGCGGCGGCGGCGGCGGCGGCTTGAAAGCTTTCCGGACGGCGAAGAACCAGCTGCCTCCTCCTTTCTTCCCCATTATTGCATCGTTCTTGACCTAGGCTGATTGTGTAAATAAGGGGAAATGAGAGGACTTAAGGAGTAAATAAGAGGAATCATGGAGGGGTAGCAAGGCAAAATGGTATTTATATTGAAGGACCTGATCATATCACAAGTGGGAGCGGTTTATAAATAAGTAATTAATGTCATCCGCTACTTCCACCTGACTCGATCCCTTGCCTTGCCTCTCCATAAAGGAACCCTATATTTGAAAAATCATCCACCCTTCTACCACCTACTTCATTCTTTGGCTCTAATCATTTCAATTTTGTTTTACTTTAACCTCTTATAATTGGGTTTTAAATATTTAAACCTTTCAGTAAAGGAGGTGTACGTACATAAATAAATCGAGACGACAGGAAACTCGACAAATAGGTAGTGTGGTCATACTGTAGAAGATACCGAAGATGCTCGGGTCATTAGGGATTAAACCCAGATTCCAAAACTTGGTATGAATTATGGACAAGACGTGTTACATATGATTTAAATAATTTATTATTACTATCTATTCTAATAAGGTGTACCTTCTTTTCTAGTGACTCAACCCCGAAAAATCTGACAAGTATGTAGCGTGATCCTACTGCAGGAGATACCAAAGAATGCCAGGGTCATCAGAGGTCGAACCCAGATTTCCAAAACTTGGTATGCATTTTGGGCATGGCGGGTTACATATATTAAGTACTGTGTAGTTACTATCTATACTAACAAGGTGCACATTATTTTTCAGTGACTCAATAAGTAGGTAAAGTAGTTATACAGAAATACGAGAGAACCCTAGGGTCTCATGGGTCGAACCCAAATTCTAAAATCTAGACTGAATTATGAACATCGAGTCTTACGAATCCTAAACATTGTGTATGAAAGTTTTGAATGAAGCATAGATATCTAGTCATTTAGTTATGTCAGGACGTAATTCAAAAAGTTATATATATAATAATTAAAATTTTAAAATCCAATTACAAACCAAAAGCACCTTATAGTAGAAGCAAAATGAAAATGTTGATATAATGAAGAAAAAAAGTTTAATTTTTCCATAATTTTTATTTGCTTTGGAAACAAACATTACCTAATTAGGTCCCAAACCAATATATGATATATATATGGAAGTTGGGCTGTCTTTTTGAGTCTTCCATTGGTCCCAAATAATTAATTAGTTTAATCATTAAAAAAAATATTTATTTTTTTAATTATATCATAATTAAATATCAATTTAAATATAGTTCAATTAATTAAATATTTATATATATTAGATAAAAAAATAAAAAATAAAAAATTATTTACGTGTCCTTATTTAATTAATTAAATTAAATCAAAATTCGTTAATATAAATCAATAATTTACATTAATATTTAAGTAATAGAATTAAAATAATAGCGATTCTTTAGATTCGAAGTTGCAAATTTAGATCTCATTTGATAATCATTTAACATTAATTCTTTCTTCGAAGATTTAAATATTTATATTTTAATTTTTTTTTTATTTTAGTTATAAGACTATAATTATATTATTTCATAATTAAAAAAATTATGATAGGTAAGTGTTTAAAATACTTTATTGGGTCTGTTTAAAAAATAATATTTTTATTAGTGAAATAATGATAATTTGGGTGAGGGTTGCTCTTGGACTTTAGCTACCTAACAAACAAACAAGATATCTCAACTACTTTTAATTGCAACTAAATCCACAAAATTTAAATCTAATTTTGTTTAATTAAAATTTTTAATTTATTTTCATCACATAATTATTACACTTTGAAATGTTTTGATTTGTTCATTTAATATAATTATTTTTTTTATAAAAAAAATATATAAGGATTGAAATTGGATAAATATTAGAGATTTGTGAATTAAACTATTATTTAAATCCATTTATATTGTAGAATTTTTATGAAGGGCTTTTCTTGTGATTTTTTAAATTTCAAAAGGGTAAAATTGTTTTTTCCACTTTTTCTCCTGCCCTTATCCTAAATCCCTTTTAAATTACATTATAAAAGTAAATAAATGACCTTTTTAATCAAAATCTTATCCACTTATTTCCTTATAATTAAGGTTGTTTTTTTAACCATATGGATAAGATCATACTCATTATCTCGATGTTAAATTTCTTGTGTCGACATTTTTCTTTATGTATCTAGAAACATAATTAATATAATAATAATAATAATAATAATAAATACTTTTAAGTTATTTAAAAAGTCTCGTTTTAAATTTTTTTTTAGAAATATCCATCAACATCGTCATCATTTAGGCTTTGAGCCACATTCTTCTCTTCTCCTCTACTTCATGCTCGATCATCACGTGTTAACCTAAATTTTGGCTCGGGTCGAGTTTCTACTTGTATCTTTCACATCTAATTTTCTTTGTTACTTTCGTTTGTCATTTTAGTCCGAAATTATCTATAATATTAAAGCCTTCACGTCCAAATTAGAACTTTTAGCATAACTCTTCGCAGCTAGATATTCCAATCCCAATTTGAGAGTAAAGTAGAATGAACAATTATATTTTTAAAATATTATATTCTGTCCTTAAACTAAAAAAAAAAATTAATTTTTATTACTAAATATTGAAATTTAGCGAAATAAATAGTGACAATAATATATATATATATATATATATATATATATATATATTAGATAAACATGACTGATACGTGGAAATCACTACAAGGGGAGTAAGATTCAGTTTAATTTGTTGATCGAATATCTTAAGGCAAGAACACTTGTTTGAGATTCAAATCACTCCACAAGCAAGATCGATCATGTCTAGCTTGAATGATTCTTGTTGATCAAATATCTCAACGTAAGAACACTTGTTTGAGATTCAAATCACTCCACAAGCAAGATTGATCATATCGAGCTTGAATGATTCTGCATGCAACCTAAACTACATAGAAACTTAGTCATTGGCTAAAGAAAAGCACATATGCTACATTTTCCAAGTTCGCTTACAAATACAACATACATGACTTTATATAGCCTAAAAAATGAAATTATCAAAGACATTCCAAGAGTTGTAACATTCATAGTTTAGGGCCATAATTAACTATTATGTAAATGTAACCTAAAGTAAATAAGAAGTCTTATAATACAATAACTCTAAATTACTCGTAACCTCCCCAGCATTTATAACCATCAAACTTCATTCTTTTTCAATGTGGCATGAATTGAAATATCTTTTTGATAAATTTGACAACATTTTCTTCACATCTTCATTGAAGTATATTGTATGATTGATGTCTTTTGGTTTATATCAATGACTCTATTTGCTTGCCCAAAATATTCGAGGCTTACAATACTGTTGTTCGATATTTGAGAATTCTTTTGGCATGACTCTGATATCACATTAGATGAACACAACTCTCCACAATTATGATATTGTCCATTTTGAGCATAAACTCCCAATAGTTTTGTATTGGGATTCCCCAAAAGGCCTCCGTCAACGGAGATAATATTCTTTGATTACAAACCAAATCATTCATAGAGGGGACTTTCACCCCACTATACATACATACATACATGTGTATATATATATATTCACACTTTCACCCCACTTTCCCTGCCCTTTGTACACACTATCTGTCGCTCCTATTGATTGAATGGTTCGGTGAAGTGTTCGGATTATGGTGACGTGGGCGGTTCGCTGCCTGCGACGTCGCGAGAAGTCCACTGAACCTTATCATTTAGAGGAAGGAGAAGTCGTGACAAGGTTTCCATAGGTGAACTTGTGGAAGGATTATTGTCGATGCCTAAACATCAAACAACCCGTGAACGTGTTTACAAACTTTTTGTGTTGGGGGAGCATTTGTGTCCCCTCTGATGCCTAAACCAAAACCGGCGCAAGTCGCGCCAAGGATCTCAAACGAATAAGCTTGCCCCTTGCCCCAGTCTCGGTGTGTGAGGGGCAAAGCATTCTTGTCGTGTATATATATATCAATTTTTATAATTTATTTTAAAAGAAAAATATATTTGGATCATTACTACAAAGGGATGACTAAAAAAAAAAACAAAACAAAAGAACGAAATTGAGGAAGCACAAAATCGAATTGGGCGTTTGACCGGACTGGTAAAGAACCAGACCTCCACAGAGCGAAGCGAGGAGGTGGAGGAAGAACACCGAGAAAGACTCGCTTCACTGAAATCCCCAGCGCCTTGACGCCAATTTCTTGCATTCTGCATTCATATCTAACCTTAATTTCTCAATCCTGTACTCACTTCAGCAGCCGGCCATGTTTCAACAAAACAATATGCAGGCATCTCTCTTTCCCTATTGTATCTCTGTTGAAGAAATTGTAGCTGGATAGTTTCTGTTCGTTGAATTTCTCGACTGCGTTGGCTTCTAATTCTACTCTTTCTTGCAGCTGGCTATTCGGATTCCGACATCGCCCGCTCAAGATTCTTCACAGTACATGCAAGTCGATCAGAGCGACAAGTCTTTAGTAATGAGCGGTGATATGCAAAATGGGGGATTCACGCATGCGGAATACATCTTCAACTTCTCCAAGGTGTCCTCATTCTCATATGGCCTTCGTTTTCTCCTTCAATCTCTTGCTTTTTTTTTTTTAACACAAGTTTGTTTTTGGATTGCTGTTGTATGGATAAATAATGCTTGTGTAGGATCTCATGTTTTAGTCTCTTGGTTGACAATGGTTTGTTTGTTTATACTTTTAGCTAGCGAATTAAGAGTCTCAGGCATCATTTTCTTGATTCCTGCAGAAACTTGAAGAGGATTTACAGACGTTTGGCATGAAAATAAAACAGCACGAGGATAACATTAAATTTCTCAAGACTCAGAAAAACAAATTAGATGAATCCATCCTCGATTTGCAAGGTATTTTGTTTACTATTGTGTGTTAGAACTTATTGGTATTCCCTTTTCTTTTGTTTTGTATATCCACTTAGAATTTCATTTAGTTATTCTAGGCAAGTATCATTCTTCTGGCACACCTGTGGCTGAAAACGAGGTTCATTCCCATCCTCAAAGCGAAGAGGAAACGATGGAACAGATTATGCGGCAGGAAATGTCTGCTGCTGGCATTATATGTAGATTGAACACACATCATGGTATTCAGGCTTACAACATTACGTTGACCAAGGATGTATTGGGCATTGTTGCTCGGCTTGGAAAACTTGATGATGATAACCTTGGCAGGTCTGTTTGTCTTCTATTTCATTTTCCTCCATCTATTTGGGAATGTGATTTTTTTGGGAGGTGTTGAGTTTGTATTACATCTCATTTGGTACATTGTATTGAGCTTAACTATCCAAAAGGAAATGATATAAACCCACAAGTTTATGTATATCTGCTAGTGGTGGGCTTAAGCTGTTACAGTTCCGATACGGTAAAACAGCTTTTGGTGGGCCAAATGGATCAGATAATTTCCTATTTGTTTCTGGTTGTCAAATTTTTTGAAGAGTAGCTTAAACCATTAAGGGTGGATGTGGAAGATGGGTGTGCTTTTAGCATGATCTTTGATGTCTGGCCTCTCTTCTAACTATATTTATTTTGATGCGCCTTCCGTTCTTCCTGCTATGAATTGCTTGTTCTTATAAGGTTCAATTATATTACAAAATCAAACAAACAATATAAATAGTTTTGCACTTACGTGATTTTTTGTAAAAAAAAAAATCAATTGCAGACTGCTCTCTGAGTACCTGGGAATGGAAACTATGCTGGCAATTGTCTGTAGAACGTATGATGGAGTTAAGATGTTAGAAACATACGACAAGGAAGGTTGCATAAACAAAAGTTCTGGCCTCCATGGTCTTGGTGCATCAATTGGGAGGAACTTGGATGGCCGGTTTCTCGTAATTTGTCTTGAACATTTGAGGCATTATTCTTATATGCTGTCTCTGTTTGAAATTATGGAGTTTTAAGTTTGTAAACATTTTTCAGAGTTTTTATTTATGTATGATTTAATCTATGAGAATGCTAAAAGTACTTTATTTTGCAGACCGTATGCTGGTGATTTTATTCCTAATGATCCACAAAGGAGGCTTGATCTTCTAAAGCCAAGATTACCTAACGGGGAGTGTCCACCTGGCTTTGTTGGCTTTGCTGTTAACATGATCAATATTGATAGCACACACTTGTTTTGTTTTGCAGCCAACGGATATGGTCTCAGGGAGACCCTGTTCTATTCTCTCTTTTCTCGTCTTCAAGTATATAAAACAAGAGGTGACATGCTACAAGCTCTCCCTTGCATAAGTGATGGTGCACTTTCTTTAGATGGAGGAATAATCAAGGCTAATGGTCTTTTTTGCTTGGGCAATCAGTATGAAGCTCTCTTTCAAAATTGTAATTCAAGTTTGTCTGAATCATTTAGTAGACCTTGCTTTAGAGTTTAATCTCTCTTTTTATTTGTCAATTGCTTTTTGCCAATTAATCTAATTGGATATATATTGGTTGGTCCATGGACTCACTCCCATCCGAAACATCTTAATATTTTTGTGCTACTCAAATGTTTAGATTCCGAGCGATAATTCTTTGGCTTTTTATGCTGTCGGTGAAAACTAATAAGCACTGTCATCTATCATTTCCTGAAAATTCTTGATGCAAAACTATGCAATAGTGCTAGGATTGGCTTTACGTTTTCAGAAAGAAAAATTGAATTTTTGCTATGGCTTGTGGGCTTATTTTTGTTGTTCAATTGAAAGTTGGATTTTATTCAGTGTTAATCTCAGTTTTTTCATGTTTGGTATCAGGGAAGATGTTCAGTTGAGATTTCCGAAGGCCTCAATGAAATCAAGCCTGCCTGAAAGCTACATTGAATCTGAGAGGCAGATGAAAGAGCTCAAGTGGAAAAAGGAAAAGATGATTGAAGATATAAAGAGAGAACAAGCATTACTGAACAATTCTAAGCTCAATTTCGATAGGAAAAAGGCAGAGTTTCTAAAGTTCCTTGCTGAAAGTTCATCATACGCAGCTCAGGTAAGTTCTAAAATTTAACGAATACTGAATATAATCTCTGTTTCCTACAAAAAAAAAATACAATAAATGGTTCATCCTTTTGCATAAATAAGGATTTCTTTTTGGGATCCTATTCTCTGTTCTTATCTTGCGTATTGAAGCTCTTGCGTGTAAATAACAATGTGAATAATTTAATCCTCTCAGCTGGCCCTATTCTTATAGCAGCGAATCCAGTTTGCACCTCCATATAAAAAATGTCTCTTATGAGTCTTAAATTTCAGTTTTAAATCTCAAATGATCAACTCCCCCTTACTGTTAGAGGTTGAATAAATAGCAGGAATTAGTGGAAAAGGGAGCGGGTTCTAGTCTATTGTCTTCTGATTATCTGATTTTTTGTCCATTTCCAAGTCTTTTAAGCAATAGGTCTTACAAAGGAGCTCTCGGTTGCAAATTATATCTGGCTAAGAGCAGCCACCTTTGTTGACTTACAGAACTTCTGTGATTCCGAACTTGTGAATCCATATTATACTTCTAATAATCTTCCTCGAAATTGCTAGCTCTTCATGATTCATGAATATCTTCAACTTGCAAGTGACAGCCTTATATCATCTCTAGCTTCCCTCCATATGAAATCCCACCATAACTTATCTTTTTGTCCATATTAACTGAAATTTTGAACAGACGATTGTTGGGGGGGTGCTTAAAGAGGTATGATTTGAGCGAATGTGAGCCTACCAGCCTTGACATTTAAATAGGTCTGATTTGGAAATAGGGAAGTTCCACTTCTTCATTTTAGCCTTGACATTGTCTAATTTGCAGCCAAGTTGGCAACTTCTTGATTTGCAACGACGAGGTCTTAGAATTGGGGGAATGCTTGTAACTCTCTGCTCTGCCAATTCACAATTTACTTTCGTTGGTGTAATCATTTATGGCCTTCAAAATTTCTATTAATGAATGTTTGTGATTCTTTTGCACTGGAAAATAACTGTAATTTCATCTGGAAATTCAATCTTATGACCTGACCTTTCAAAGATCAACTTTGATGCTTATAATGCCACTCCTTTTACTCAAATACAATTGCTCGGAATGCACTAGGAGCCTGTTAAATTGACCCGACAAACTGAACATGTTCAGTTTGTTAAAAATCGACATCTGTTCAAACATGGTTCGACTGCTATAATATTGAAAACGTCAGCATGCTGTTAAATTAGTGTATGTCGCTTCGCTAGGGCCTGTTAAATTAGTGTGCCTGCTCAACGAACTCAATAAATCTGAGAATAAGGCAAAATACCCTGCACAAGAATCTGGTTATAGCTTACGATAATATAGGTTAAATTATAACTAAATCTTGTTTGAGAACCATTTAGTTTTTCTTTGAAAAGTTTGCTTGTTTTCTGTAAACATTTGAATTCATAATTGTTTATATTTTGAAAATATTTATAAATAGAGTCCAAACTTCGTTTCAACAGTGGTGTAATTCTGAATGTTATTTTAATTGTGAAATGACAGCAACAACTCTCAGTCAAGCTGCCGTAGAAAACACCAAGTTTTCCACTGTACAACTTGGGGAAGGAGCTGTCAGCTGCGATATTTTAACCTGAGAAAATGCATAAGCTTCCTATTTCATTTTTGAGGTAAATATCTTATCTTATGGTTTAGCTGAAGAACTTCAAGGAAATGGAATAGGAGGCTGTGGCATCTGTAGTTCCTCACTAGATTAGGCATTTTTTTTAGTGCTCACTGTCCAGATTTATTGAAACTAATGTTGTTTAACTGAAGAGACAACCGTTCTCTTGCATTGGATGATCGTTTAGTATTAGCGTAAGATAGTTCAAATGGTCAAGTCATATTCTTCCGAATAAGAAGTCAAATGGGTCTTTGTTGTCAGACTCTTTAACTGAAGAGACAATGGCTCTCTTGCATTGGATGGCGGTTTGTATTAGTCAACTTTGTCGTAGTTTAAGAAAAGCCTCCATTAGGATCGTTAAGTGTTAAAAGTTTCCGTAGCATAGTTTAAATGGTCAAGTCATATTCTCCCGACTAAAAAGTCAAATATTTGTGTTCTCTTATCAGGTTATAGAAAAACAAGTTTCTTTTTTTTTTCTCCCTACAAATTTTTGTTCACATGAACATAGCCATTAAAGAATGAGTGTTTTGATCCAAAATCATATATTAAAGTCATATTTAATAAATAGCTATCTCCTTACAAAATCAAAGCGAGGGTCACTGTCAAGTCTAAAGGACGTGGACAAATTTTAATCCACGTGGTGCAGCCTTGTTGGACTTTGTAAGATTTTTTGTATTTTTGAGATCCTTTGTCTCTTGTCACATTTTATGACATGTCATTAAAGTAAGGTTGTATCATATATTATATAATTCATGTCACTTCTCATTTACAATCATTCATATATATATATATATATATATATACATCTCTAATTGGGCTTTAAAGAAAATGGAAAGATAATGTAATGGGGCTTTAGGCCTTACGTGTATCATTGAAACACGTGCCAAAATCTTTTTGACTTTTAAATATGAATCCAATTTTTTTATATAAAGGAAAATGATTTTTTTTTAAATAGAAGCCTACTAAAGATGGTAATTTGGTGAAAACTCTTCTTTAATATATGATTTTATAGCTGTATAATGAAGTGTGAATTTTTTCGTACCTAATTATCCGAATAATTCAAGTTATCTTTTGTGTTTTTTTTTGGTATAGATTGAATTGAATTCTTGATAAATCGAAAAAAATAGTTTTGTGTGCGAGAATTTTATTGGTCGAGTCAATTGGACCAACCCTAAGAAAGATTCACAACCCAACCTTACCTTTAAAATTATTATAAAAAATTAAGAATATTTGATATTTGTAACACATATGTTACTAATGCAATGTGACTTATAAGCGTTTGATATTTAAGTTTTATGTAATTTTAGTTATTAATGTAATATTATTTTAAAAAATGAACAAACCGATAATCTAACTTAATCTATTACCCTATCAAAATACTTCAAATTAATTGGGAATAATAATTTTAAAATTTATTGAAAATACTAATTTAAAAATTACATATATATATATATACCACCTATACCACCTGTCACAATTGCACTGTTACAATAGTAAAGGAGGGATTGTACGACACTTGTTATAACCCAAAAAACAAGTTAGTTGGGTGAAACTTGCACTTTGCAGACAATATTATGCTTGAACCTCGAATCACATTTGAGAGAACTATTTTAAAAAATGTGAACGAGTAAAATGTTGAAAACAATTTTAAGAAAAACAATGTTGTAAGCTAAAAGCGAATAGAAAACACTTCACTTAAGGGTTTCGGAGTCGGGAAGAGTGGACAACAATATAATATATAAAAGAAGGAAGGAAAAAAAAAAAAAACCAGTGTTTGGAGTTGTTCTTGTTCTCTCCCTTTTCGTTGTGCTGTTTACTCAATGAAGCAAAAACTTGTGGGGGAAGTTCTCTTTTGTATTATGTTTTTGTTTACATTAGAGATTAAGGAAAGAGACAAACAGAGAAAGGGGAATTTTTCCTTTCTTTATATCTCGAGATTATGATGGATTAAGAGATGATGGGCACAGAGAACGAGACAGAAGCACAGAGGTGAGTGGATTCATCACTTCATTTTCCATCTTCCCCATGTGGATTTTCAATTCTGCGTTTCATTCTCTAATCGCCATGGATTATGATGATGCTTAATTCTTTTTGTTCTTCGAACCAGAACGTCAAAACTCGCTTTACCATTACTTCCCTTCACTCGAATGAAGTCTTGTTCAATCCCTTTTGTCGAGGTCAAGTGGTTCGTTTTCACTTTAACGCATGCGATTATAAGTTCTTGTGGATGTTTATGCTTTGTGTTTGATAAATCTTTGGAACTTTACACTGTTTGGAATCATGTGTTTCTTGTTGGTCCTCGAATTCTAGGTTTTGAATTTGGATGGTCAAATGTTTAACCCAAAATATCTACGTTTCCGATCTCTTCTTTTTCAGGAAATTACTGTTTCGAGGAATCTAGTTCCGGAATCTGAATTCTTATCGCTTTTGAGATTGATCGTTTTCGTCTGCTTTTCAGGTCTGCTCGATTTGTTCGAATCGAGGCGTTGACGAAAAAGTGCTTCTACTTTTGATGTTGAGTTTATGATTTCATCATTCGTTCCTAGGATTCTTATTCCTTGTGGATTTTGTTATACTGAAAAAAGTGTTGGGTGAAGTTTCATTACATGCGATTGGATCCTGTGAATGATCCCTTTCCCTTTTGATTCTTGGGGAGCATCTTAAAATGTAATGATTTGTTAAGAACAGTTCTTGATTTTGTTTTTCGTTTTCTTTTCTGTGAAAATTCTGGAACTACAAGTCTTTAATCCGTTTCATTTGATATAGGTTGTGGAGAAGCATGTTCTATCTGAAACTGAATTTTTCTAAGGTATCTATCTTATCTTGAGATTGGTTTGGATACACTATCATGTGACCTTTGAACATTACATGATTCCTTTGAGCAATTCTATGATAAGCGCGAGTCTTTAGTTCTATGAAATCGTAATTCACAACGTTGAATGGTCTCATATCTATGGCGACTAACAATTTTACGATAATCTATGAAATTGTAGTTTTAATGATTGAATAGTCTTGTATCAGAGTTTTGAGTAAAATGTGTTTTAAGCTCATTTAGAGCCCTTATATTTGATATTACTTTCCAAGGTTTTTTTATCTGAAAATTCTGTGCATCCTTATCTTGCTTCCCTGTATCAATCTCAATCAGTTGTTCTTTCGATCGCTTTCCCTCCCCTATTTGCTTCTCTCATTCTTCTGATGGATGTATGGATAATTTCATATCATATGAATAAATAATATTAAAAGCAAACCATATTTACTTGTTCATCTGCCATTTATTAGATTATTTGTTTCTTCTTTCTTCTGGTAATGTTCTGTTTGGTTGTAATCCAGTATGTTCGGTGTAATGCAATCGGTTGATGAGGACACTGAGCCAAAGAATTTGAAGCGTTCAAGGCCACCTCCATACAACATGACTGTCACTCACTCGAGTGTTGCTCAGAGTTTAGATGACTCCTTTCTTTTCCCAGTTGAAGAGATTGTACAATATCCATTGCCTGGATATGTTGCCCCCACTTTGATTACTTTCAGTCCAGATGACAGTTTTATCACTTACTTGTTTAGTCCTGATTCTACCTTAAATAAGAAGGTTTTTGCTTTTGATATCAAAACTTGCAAACAGGAGTTGATTTTCAGTCCTCCTGATGGTGGGCTGGATGAGTGTAACATTTCACCTGAAGAGAAATTGAGGAGAGAAAGATTGAGGGAACGTGGTTTGGGAGTAACCCGGTATGAATGGGTGAAAATGAGCCCCAAAAAGAAAGCAATTATGGTGCCTCTGCCTGCTGGGGTTAGCACTTTCATCTCTTTCAAGTTGTCGTACTATTAATCATTTTTGTCAAAATACTATTTGAAATTAAGAAACTTAGTTTCTGGTCATTGAAGCAAACCATTTATTCATTGATTTTGCATCCAATTGAAATAATAATGATAATCGTAAACGATTTCTTCTTTATGAAGTACAGGCACTACAACTTATTATCATACAATATCGATATACTTGACGTTCTCCTTCTATGCAGATTTATATTCAGGATTTTCTTGGCTCGACGCCAGAGCTTAAGCTTTCCAGTAAACCCTCTTCACCAATCATGGATCCACATCTCTCACCAGATGGGTCCATGGTTGCATTCGTTAAAGATGGGGAGCTTCATGTCATGAATCTAACATGCTTTGAAGTGAGACAGTTGACTGTTGGTGCTAGCAGAAACATTTCGGTAAATCTACAGCCATTGTTTGTAAACTCTAGTTTTCTGTTGAAGCTAATTTTTTCATCGTTCTACTTTCGGCTCGTGACATGTTGTAGCAAATGGAGTGAGTTGGACTTTAGGAAGTAGAATCCTAGAGCTTGGTTGTCCTTTCACTCTTCATCTGCGAGATCTCACACCGGTTGGATAGGGGAACGAAACATTTTTTTTAAGGGTGTGGAAACCTCTCCCTAGCATACGCGTTTTAAAAAGCTTGGAGGGGAAGCCCAGAAGGGAAAACCCAAAGAGGACAACATCTATTAGCGGTGGGCTTGGTCTGTTGCAAATGGTATCAGAGCCAGACACCGGACGATGTGCCAACAAGGACGTTGGGACCGGGATAGATTGTGAGATCCCACATTAGTTGTTGAGGGGAATGAAGCATTTCTTTTAAGGGTGTGGAAACCTCTCCTTATCATACGCGTTTTAAAAACCTCAAGGAAAATCTCAAAGAGGACAATATTTGCTAGCGGTAGGCTTGAGCTGTTACATCATTTATGCTTGCTTACCCGTTTATAGTATTTACAGTTCAGCAATTAGCATTTCTAAGCTTTCCTTTACCATTGTTTGGGTTCTTCTTCTGAGAGGAAGAGCAATTTGGTTAGGTTTTCGGTTGGCGTCTTGGTTGAAGAAGTTCATGACAGTGTATTAAGTATGACATAAATTTTTAACATTTCGTCTCTTTATTTCTCCCCTAGAATCTGACACTTTTTTTTTTCCAAACTGCAGCATGGAATTGCAGAATATATAGCTGAGGTGAGGATACCACCATCTGCTTTTCACACTGAATCTTGAAAAGAATTATTCTTGCTTGGTTGGCAGCCGGGGGAAATGAAATTTTTTCTAATGGAAGAGAGTAGAAATAATTAGTGATCTTCAACGACGTGTGGCTTCGTTTTTTTTGGATTATAGCTGGAAAATTTTGTTTTTTCAGGAGGAAATGGATCGGAAAAATGGGTACTGGTGGTCGCTCGATAGCAAATATATTGCATTTACACAAGTTGATACCTCAAAGATTCCTCCCTTTAGAATCATGCATCAAGGTAAAAGTTCGATTGGTTCGGATGCACAAGAAGATCATGCTTATTCATTTGCAGGAACTTCCAATGCCATTGTTCGTCTCGGCGTTGTCTCTGTTTTTGGAGGTCCGATTACTTGGATGGATCTTCTTTGTGGAGAAACCGAGGAAGAGGAATATCTGGCCCGAGTCTGTTGGATGCACGAAAATATTCTTATCGCTCAGATTCTAAATAGGTTACATACCAAGCTGAAAATTCTCAGGTTTGATATCAAGACAGGCCAGAGAAAGGTTTTGCTGGTAGAAGAACAAGATTCATGGGTTAACTTACATGATTGTTTCACACCACTAGACAAAAGTATGAGCAAATATTCTGGAGGATTTATATGGGCCAGTGAAAAAACGGGATTTAGACATCTTTATTTGCACGATGGCCATGGTACGTGCTTGGGGCCGATTACCGAAGGCAACTGGATGGTTGAACAAATTGCCGGTGTCAACGAGGCGACCGGGCTAGTTTATTTTACTGGAACTCTTGACGGGCCTCTTGAATCTCATCTTTACTGTACTAAACTAACCACTACCGGGAATACACCATTGGAGCCACCAACAAGATTGACTCAGGGCAAGGGGAAACATGTCGTTGTACTCGATCATCGCATGACGAGGTTTATAGACACTCACGATTCTCTCAATTCTCCCCCAAGGGTGTTGCTCTGCTCCTTGAATGATGGAAGTGTCATTTTGCCAATTTTTGAGCAAACACTTGCAATTCCAAGGATTCAAAGGCTTCATCTTGAGGCTCCAGAAATCGTTGAGTTACAGACTGGTGATGGGGCATTGCTCTATGGAGCTTTATATAAGCCGAACGAGGCAATATTCGGGCCACCGCCATACAAAACTATGATCATTGTGTACGGTGGTCCGAGCGTACAGCTAGTTTGTGATTCATGGGTAAATACGGTCGACATGAGAGCTCAGTATCTGCGTAGCCGGGGGATCTTAGTGTGGAAGGTTTGTACATAATGCATTTCTTTTGGATTGTAGCTTCCTTCCTTGCTTGAGTTCATCTGTCCATGGTTGTGTTGGATCATTAGTTTTTATTCTTTTTGAATGGTTTGTTGATTGCAGTTAGACAACAGAGGAACCGCTCGACGTGGACTAAAGTTCGAAGCGTCTCTAAAATACAATATCGGCCATGTTGATGCAGATGATCAATTGGTTGGAGCAAAATGGCTGATCAGGCAGGGTTTAGCAAGAGCTGGAGAGATTGGTTTATATGGATGGAGCTATGGTGGCTTTCTCTCTGCAATGAGCTTGGCCCGGTTTCCAGATATATACGGATGTGCTATATCTGGTGCCCCCGTTACAGCTTGGGATGGGTACGACACGTTTTACACAGAAAAGTACATGGGATTACCATCTCGAGATCCCGAAGTTTACGAGAAAAGCTCGGTGATACATCATGTAAATAAGATGACTGGGAGGCTGTTAATCGTGCATGGGATGATCGATGAGAACGTACACTTCAGGCATACTGCAAGGCTTGTGAATGCACTGATATCGGCTGGAAAGACGTATGAACTACTGATATTCCCCAACGAACGACACATGCCTCGACAGCACCGTGATCGGATCTACATGGAAGAAAGAATCTGGGAATTCATTCAGAGGAACTTGTGTAAGGTAATCTAGTCTTTGTTGTTATTTAGTAGTGGCTCTGAAATGAATGGTGTGTTTAATCCCATGTGAAATATTCTATGATTTTAAACCCTTTAGAAATAAAAGGCTCCACTTACTGAGTTCATGTGACTTGCTTGTTATGAATGATTGGTAAATTGTATTTTAGTCCATAGAGCCGTTTCTTGCCCCGTCCCGTCCCCCCGCCTCGGCATAGCGCTTCACCTTCCCGGTTTTGTTCTAACCTTCCCGGTTTCAATATACGATCACATTTGCATACTTTGAAACAGATTGGAACGTAATAAAAGTTAAGGATCCAGATGGATATTAATGAAAATAGAATAATCCCGGAAATTATAAAGTTTAGGTCTCGGTTGAAGAATAATCGCCCGTTTTTAGCATTTGGCTAAGAATTAAAATATTTTATTTTGAATGCAAGAACTACAAATATTAAAAATAAAACAAGAAAACAAATTTATTTTGAAAAAATATATAACGATGATACAACAAATACAATCACAATTATAACAATACATAAACTCTCATATGGCACACATTATTTTCTGCTCTTTTCTTCATTTTCCCCAACAGCATTAATCAAAGGAATGAAACTGTACACGTGTCGTCATCAACCACATCCTAAAAAATTAATACTACAAAAATAGTATTGCAATTTTAGTTAGCAGATAATCCGGCCGAAAACGACACTCCAGTGGAAGGCAACCACGAAGAGCCATAGATAAACTGTCCGACAGTAAATTTGGTGGCTTCAATCGTAGAAGTAATGACCCGATAACCTGGCCAGTTGACTCGCTGCCCTGTGGCAGCACCAGGCCCAGAATTCATATACTCGCCGTAGTAAAGAGTATCGAGAGCGAAAGAGCCTTGCCACTCGAGCCAACCACGTGGATGAATGTGATCCCCCATTGAAGATACCATGTAAACAACTCTAGAGTATAATTTCCAAGGGCGACCAAGGAAAGTCGGAAAAGAACCTTTGGAGGCTTCAAGATCAGTGGTGGCGAGGATCTTGCAAGCATGGATGGAGATTCCAGTATTCTGATTCGGATCCTTTCGGTTTTGAGCAGTGATGGTGTTCTTCTGTTGGGGCATAGGCTTCCGAGCATAAATGTTGCAGCTTTGGAACACCACCACCGCATTTCCAAAAATAAAGTCCACTGTACCATATATGTCACACTCACGAAAAAACTGTCGATTCGAGTGTACATACAAAGTGTCTTGATAACCAATTATGTTGCAACGATACACCACCGCATGGTCTGCACTCACACGAAGTGCCACTGCTTGGTGCTTGCTTGGCCCTGCCGTGTTCTCGAAAGTCATATCTCGTAAAATTATTCCTGTCCCAGAACCGGCTGCAAAATAACACAAATAATAATTTATTTATCGTATATAAAATATTTATAACATTAGGTTATATGAAATTAAATTACATAGTATAAACTTTGACTTTACTAATTAAATGCACCAATTAGCATATAAATATGAATGGGCCCACTTAATGCAAAGAAGAAACGAGGCTACATGCCAGTTGGCAAACACAGCTGGAATTTACAATTTCTCGTATGATTACGTGGATAAATCAATTAATTATTTTGTAGCCTAATAAATGCTTCAAAAATTAGCTTAATTTATCATTATCTTTAAATATTATTCCAACGCTTACTCACTCAATGCTTATCCTAATAAAACATTTAATTAATATATTTATATTAACACATTAATGCACTGACGACACGTCATCACTAGTTTTATTTTCTTTCATTTATCTATTTATTTATTTAAACTTAATTCAAAAGAATTAAAAAAAGAAAAAAAGTTTTGGAATAAAATTGAAAAAAGAGATGGAGAGTATATACCAAAGGTGGCGGTGCGAAAAGTGGTAACTTTGTCAAAAACGCTTTTGCCACCTGAAATGACGGTTATGCCCTTCCCATCTCCCACAAACATCAAGTTTGTCTTCTTCCTTCCCACCTTCAAATTCTCTTCTTCGTACCTGCAAAATTACATTAATACCCTTTAGTCTCGACTTTTAACTATTTAATTGTAGTGTATAGAAAGATTACTGCATACTGTATGCAGTAAAATATTGTTAAGTTTCAGTTATTATCAATCCACTGACTTACCACTTTTTTTTTTTACTGTAATTCTATAAAATTTATTATTATTATTATTATTATTATTAATAAGAAAACTATAGGTTATGAAATGATAAATAATAACATGAAGTCAATGAATTAAACATAGGATAAAAGTTGTTAAAAATAATTTATTTTTCCTTCCTTTTAATGAGGGTTAAGTTGATTAATTATGGCCTAATAATTCCACCAACTTTAGGGCCCCATAGTTTTCTATTTTTTTAAAATTAATTTTTTAATGTTATTTTAATAAAATATTCCCAAAATTTTTATTATTTTTTAAAAAATAAAAATGTATTTTGATTTGTTTATAAAATATAATTAATTATTTAGAATGTTTTAATAAAAATAGAAATTATTTCCATTAAAATAAAATTTGAATTTTTTTGAAATTTGATCTTACTTTCCAGCCTTAATGTAGATAACGATTCGTCGACCACTAGACGACGGCGCCGCCTCAATGGCCTCAGCCACCGTCTTGAACTTCCCACTCCCATCCTTTGCAACAACAATATCCGCCTGAATGGCCGAAATGGGAGCAGCCAAAAGCCGCCTATCTTTCCCACTAACCCACCCGGGAAACTCCCCCTCCGCCACCGCGACACCATTCTCCGCCGCCCACTCCCTATCACTCTCCATCAACCGCCGCCTATTCTGCACCGGCAACCCCTCACCATACCCAGAAAAAATAGCCAAAGAATTACTAATCATCTCCGACAAATCACTCAGCCTCGCCGCCATTTGATCCTTGACCGGGTCATCCACATCCGCAAATCCATCACTACACGTGTCATGATAAGTCAACGCAGCACTAAGCCACGTCATGATGTCATGGTTAGAAGCTGAGGTGGAGAAGAGAGAGAGAGAGAAGGCATCAACGGCGTCGTTTAGAAGCTCAATACAATCTTGGTAAGCAGAGTGAGCTAAAGGGTTATTGGAGATTTGAAAAACGGGGATTTGAGAAGAGGCGTAGAGGGCTTTAGTGAGATGTTGGAGAGTTAGGTTGAGAGAGATATGAACGAGGCGGTGGACGTCGGCGGAGAGAGAGCCGGGGAAGGAGAGGAGAGAAGAGCGGCAGAGAGAAGGGTAGAGAGTGTGGCTGCAGGCGTGAGAGATGGCTTGGGTTGGTTTGTTGTGGGGGAAATGGGAGCTTTGGGAATGGAGGAGGACGGCGGCCGAGACGGCGGACGCAGTGATGAGAAGGATCGAGATAAGGGAAACGAAGAGAATTCGGGTGCGGCGGCGTGAGGCGGAGGAGGACGGTGGATTGGGAGTATGAGAAACTTGGAAGGTGGCCGGCGTGTCGCCGGAGGCGGAGGAGTGGAGCTTGTTGTAGTTGTTCATGGTTGAATGTGGATTTGCATGGGAGAAGAATAAGCTTTAAATAAAGGGGAATGGTTGTTCCTTGGTCTACGTCGAGAGGAGCAATCACCTGTAACCGATTCCACCAGAATCAGAGGATAAATTATTCTTCATTTTTAAATAATGGATTACAAGAAATTAATTAAAAAATATATTGTTTATATAAATAATTTGGTTAATTATTATATTAAACAAGTTGACCGATGTGACTAAGGAGTGAGTAACGGGTTGGTCCATGATTTAAATTTTAATTAGTGAATTAATTGTGATAAAGATTTTGGTTTCATATAATTGTCCCTTTATATTCATTCAAACCCATGTGGCCACGTCACCATCATTTTTATTTCTATAATTTTATTTATTTTTTAAAAAATTAGACGTAAATACTCGAGTACAAAGTTTGAGAAGAGGATGAAGATAATAATCGACCCATATAAATTCAAGATGCAATATCCCGAGCAAAGGTTCAAGAATTTTCAAGGCCTGTCTAATCCAACCTTAAACAGGTCGGTCCATGAATTTGCCCAAGCCTATTTGACCGCCTACTTGGGTGTTCGACCTTGGCTTGTTTGGCCAATCCTTTCAAATAAGGTCCTGGATCTAAGCCCTAAACTCTAAACCCGAACAAATCTCTCTTAAAATTAGTCGAGAGAGAGAGTACAAGTGGGAAATTAATAGGCATGTGAGTGGTTGATGATGGTAGGGAACAAAAACCAAAAATGAACCCCTCAATATAAGACCTTTTCAAAACCCTAACCCACGATTTTAATTTTAATTTTGTTGATGTTTTCATGCTTCTCCCAATCCTTTTAGCTCGGACTGTAATTGTAACAACCAAAGTCTACTATTAGTAGATATTTTTGCTTTGGCTCGGCACGCATCGTCATCAATTAAAGACGAAACATTTCTTATAGGGGTGTGGAAATCTCTTCCTAACAAATGCGTTTTAAAATCGTGAGGTTGACGATGATACATAACGAGCCAAAACACACAATATTAACTAGCGGTGGGCTTGAGTTGTTACAAAATTTGTAATTTAATCTTAATTATATAATAAATTATTATTATTATTATTTGTAATTTAATTTCAGGGTCGTCACTGCAACTTCGTCTCCTGTTCAAAAGTCTAATAGGAAAATGGGGCAGTAACAAACACTAAATTATATATCAACATGAGTATAGCTCAATAATAATTGACTGTTACTCTTCTTTCTAAAGTCGAAAATTCACATCTTCATATCTTTGTATCTATTATACTAAAAATTATCAATGATCGAGCGAGAGGGGAGGGCTTTTTGTTTAGATACCCTCGAATCCGAAGCTAAGAAATGGGTAAATTTTAGATAAGCTTTACGTGCTTATTGGAAGTCTCTATTCAAACTTTTCCTTTAGGCTTTTGGGCCAAATTCTTCCATTGCCACGAAATAGACACAAAAATGCTTCACCAATCGATGGACCCGACATGGCCTAATCGCGTGTAGTAGAGTCGACTAGATATGACAAAAATAAAGATTCCATTTCATCGTGGCTAAAGTTGAAATTTTTTCCCTTGATTCTTACGACGAAAAAGAAGGTTGTCAAATTACAAGTTTAGCCCCTCTATTGGGTCAACTTTTAAAATATCTCATATGTTCTTGAATTCTCGATTTTATGTTTAATAAGTTTATGTGCTTTAAAATTTTCGATCTTCGATCTTATATCTAATACATAAAAAATGTGTCGATGTCATATGACTTCAGTGTTATCATTAGACTCCATACAACTTTATCCTATTTGCCCTTCACTTTCACCCGTGAACAAACCATTAGTGTTTAAAGTACTCTTGCAATATCATGCTTGCCCGTTTCGTTTGATCGAATGATGATTTGATATTATGTAGTAATAGAAGACTCGAAAAATAGTAGATCAGCTAGATAAAACAATAAAAAAAAAATGCACTAAAAAATAAATTATAATTAAATTAATAAACTATAGCTTTGAAGCATTTAATGTTACTATATGCTCGTACAATATAATTTTTTATTTTTATCATAATATCTTTTTAAATATATTTATACCCATTTATCTTTCTTACTCAAGAATGTCTATTGAGTCACTTGTCACAATCGCACTTTGATGGTAGCGGACTGCGATTGTGCGGCACTCACTTTTCCGCAACAAGTGAGTTAAGTCTATTCGTTCTCGCATCGCCTACAGGCAAGCGACGTATGCTTGAGCCTCTAGCCCTGGTTCAATAAGAAAGTTTTAGAAAGCGGGAGCAGAGAGATTTTGAAGGAGAGTTTTGAAAGCAAGATTTAAGAAATTGAGATTGGTGTTATATGAGAATGTAAGCAAAAGACAACAACAGCTTACTGCATATAACTATGGGGTAAGGAGAAGTTGACAACTAATCATGTCCCTTACCGGAACAAAAAAAAAACATACTTTATGAACGATGTCTAACTTATGTTGTTTGATGTAAAAATTGGGAAATTTTTTGTTTTTTTTTTTATTTTTTATTATATGATTCAACTTTTTTTAGAGAACAAAAAAAAAAACATGAGCTAACTTAGAAAATTGACAATCATTTTCTTTGTCTTGTTTCTTAAATTTGGAAGATGATTGAGCAATTTGGTTGTGTTTTTATGTAGCTCTAAAGCAACCTTAACCAATTGCAATAATGAGTGGGGAAAGATTCAAAAGAAAATATTAATGTTTTTTTAAAAAAAAAATCTCTCGACCCATTAAATTGATGTCGAAGATAACATTCTGGATTTGTTTTTTTTTTGTTCGATAATATTTAGAGTGATAAGATTCGAACATATGATCTCTTAATCGATAATATAAAATTTAAATTTATTACCCCAAACGTACACGTTATGTTAGTTTGACCATGCTCGAGGGTACAACAAATGTTGTACTTAGTCCAAAAGGAAACAATAAGATATGATTAAAGGTAAATTCAGTAATCATAATTAAATAGAATGATTCCATCTTAAGTTAACGACTAAATTACCAACTAATTAGTTGCACTTACATTAATGATTGTGGGACCCAATCCAAAAGATGGCTACGATCTATCATCACATATTGACATGCCCACTCACCAAATGACACCTTTATGTTTCTATCAAAGAGATAATTCAACGATTAAAATGTATCTATTGGATAATGGTAATTACGGATGACCAGACTGATAAAGATGATGTTTTGAATTTCTACTGTTGTGTATAGGTAATCTACGCGGTCTAAAACTCTTCATCTTCTCAAATAACCTATTTTATGTGGAACGCTCGTATCCCATTTGATTTCTTCCATCTTCAAGTTTTTTCATTTCCCTCGACCTCTTATGCTCTAATTGGTCCCTCTTGAACCTTCGGTTATAGAAAATGGGTAAAGCTAGGGTTTTCGACCAATTATATATGTAACGGCTCAAGCCCACCACCAGCGCAACCCTAACCCTCAGCCCAATGATCCAAGCTTTTGTTGAAGCAAAAACCCTTGAATCAAAGTAATTAACACCTTCTTATATAAAATTCGGATCAACTAAGAGATAAGGTTAGAATTAGATTAGATCGAAGATCTAGGAGCAAGCTTTGGAAATCTTGTTCTAAATTGAGTCACTCCACAATCGTACTTGATCAAGGCTTGATTGAATGACTTGAGTGCAATTCTACCACAAGAATGCCTTGAAACTTAGAAATGACAAATATGATGCTCGGATTTCTAACGGAAACGTCTCAATTTGAGATCTGAATTACATTCACCCACGAAACTTATTTTTACATAACATATTGTGGGTATTTATAGTCTCCCGACAAAAGACGTTTGTGGTCGGGATTTATTCCCGAAACTTATTTTTACATAACATATTGTGAGTATTCATAGTCTCCCTACAAAAGACGTTTGTGGCCGGGATTTATTCTCGATCCCCTTTAATACATATTTTTTGGGCTTTCTCTCTCGGGCTTTCCTTAAGGTTTTTAAAATGTGGGACGACGTTTTTAAAATGTGGGCTTTCCCTATCGGGCTTTCCCTATTGGGCTTTCCTTAACGTTTAGGACGACGTTTCCACACCCCTATAGAATGGTTTGTTCTTCTCCCAACGAATGTCAAATCTCATAATATAGTTGCCAACATCGAGCCGTGTAACAACGGTCGATGGTGAAGGAAGAAAAAAGAAAAAAGAAAAAAAAAAGTTTTTAATTTTAATCATTAAAAATTAATAAAAGATAGATGTCACGTCATGTTAAAATTGTTGGGTTTGAACTTACAAATATAATTAAATCCATTTAAAAGAAAAAGAAAAAAAAAACTAGAATTGACCTTCAAGCCTAAGCCCATATATTCATATTCGGCTGGACCAACTATTCTCAAGATATCAATCTCGAAGCCCAAGCCCATTTATCCCAATTGGGCTGGCCCAACTCTTCTCAAGATACCAATAATGGATTCATATAAATAGTCGTCGGAAATTTCAGGCATAAACCCTCAACCTGTTGGACCGATTATCACCCGCGATCTAGCGATTCTGCCAGCTTCTGCCCGCCATGGCGATTATCTCTGAATACGAAGAAAAGGAAGAAATCCCAAAGCCGAAGAAGCCTTCCTCCTCCTCCTCCTCATCTGCACCGTCGTCCTCATCATCTAAGCCCTCTCAGTTCAGTGCAAACTTTGACCCTTCAAACCCTCTAGGGTTTTTAAACGAGGTTTTCGATTTTCTTGCCAAGGAGAGCGATTTTCTCTCCAGGGATAGAGTCGAGAAGGAAATCGAGACGGTAGTGCGTAGAGCTGTGGAGAAGAGAAAGAAGCACGTGGAGTCAATTGAGCTTAAAGGAAAGGCCGAGAAGAGGATCAAGGAAGAGGTGGGGAGTGTGAAGCAGGAAGCTGCGCCGGTGACTGTAAAGCAGGAGCCGAGGAATGTGGCATCACCGTCAGAAGGGAAAGTGGATGTGAAGTTGGAGGAGAGCACCGAGGAGAAGAAAGAGGAGAATGGTCCAAGAGGT